TGCTGAAATCTTGAGGGGCCACGGAAGCTAGAAAGCTGAAATTTTAAGCGCATGTTTCCTGACAGTTCTGGTGGCCAGTCTTAAATTGTTTAGCTAGAAGCATTTGCCGAAAAAACCGGTGCCGGAAGCAACAGAAACTGCGGGGAACCATGCAAAAAACGCATCTTCGCGCGGGCAGCTCGTGCGTTGGCCAATTATTTCTTTTTCCCATCCATACCGTAACCCAACCCTATGCCCTCGATGGGATTTTGTATAAATACAAAGCCAAAGCTGACATGTGCTTTTGTAAAATGATTAATGTGTTTTTGTATCCAGCGACTACGGCTGGATACAAAGGGGTAAACATACCGGGACACCTCCTTTTATGGGCAGGACCAATCTCCCCTATATAACCCTTGGTTTTCTTCATTCTAGGTCTTTTGCCGGGATTCGTCTTGTATTCATCTGGGACTTCGATCCAAAACTCTTTTCAGTGCATTCGACTTCGACATCCAGAATTTACTACAAAACGTCTGTCTCCTTGAACGGCCCCGATTGTCTAAACGCCGTTCGGCTCCGACCAATTCTACCAGTCTCCGATCATGTCTTTTCAATTGTATTGTTGTTTAACTTATTTTTCTAACCAAGCTAAGATAAATTTAACATGATAAAAACCACACTTCACGCTTCATCTTGCCTAACCACAACGACCCCGTAATACCTCGCTACAACACATCAAAAACATTCACTAGATGAACACACACACAGACAGGTTCGTTGCAGTACGCGCTTTTGCAATTTGCATACATGCAAAAACGCATAAAAAAGTGATAATCACGCGCACTGGAGATTCACGCAGCTACATGATGCAGCCATCCCATTCGACTCTCATTCCTCTGTATGCAGGAAAGAGCCAAAACACTGGCAACATGAGTCCGTTTGTTAAACCATAGTGTAAGAATTATTCGCGCTATTAATGAACTGAATGCTGTAAGGTTAGTGAAAAACGAATGATCGCACCAGTAAGCCTGGTGCACTGCAGCCTGAGTCGCCAATGCACGACCGTTTGCCAGAAATTATTCACTCTCCTCCATGCAAAACTTATTGTGGTGAGTGCACAAGTTAGATGAAAGCAAAGCGCGACTACAACAGCAAGCTTGTTGCCTCACAACCTGAGCTTGTTGCCTCATAATCTAGATCGCCATGCAGACTGCATTTGAAATTAGCATAATGTCTCCCGGGCACGCACATTCGCTTCTTAACATTCTCATTTTTATGCGTTTTTGCCTATATGCAAATTGCAAAAACGCATATTGGGACGACCCTGTCTGTGTGTCATGTATGTATGTTCTTTCATGCAAAATTTACCATGATTTGCGGTATTGAGAGCACAAGGTAGGTGTATGTGTGTGTGTATGCTTGTGTGTGCGTATGTGTGTTCGTCTGTCCGGGTATTTCAACTCGGCAACCACGTATGCGTGTGTGTGTATGTTTGTGTGTGTGTGTGTTCGTCTGTCCGGGTATTTCAACTCGGCAACCAAGCTTCTATATGCAAATTGCAAAAACGCATATTGGGACGACCCTGTCTGTGTGTGTATGTATGTATGTATGTGTATGTGTATGTGGGTGTGTATGTTTGTGTGTGTGTGTGTGTTCGTCTGTCCGGGTATTCCAACTCGGCAACCAAGCAAGTTCCAGCGCCGAGATTTATGTGTGTGTGTATGTGTGTGTGTGTTCGTCTGTCCGGGTATTTCAACTCGGCAACCAAGCAAGTTCCAGCCTCGTGTATGTGTGTGTGTGTGTGTGTTCGTCTGTCCGGGTATTTCAACTCGGCAACCAAGCAAGTTGTGTGTATGTTCGTGTGTGTGTGTGTGTGTTCGTCTGTCCGGGTGTTTCAACTCGGCAACCAAGCAAGTATGTTTGTGTGTGTGTGTGTGTGTGTTCGTCCGTCCGGGTATTTCAACTCGGCAACCAAGCAAGTTCCAGGGCCGAGATTTTGCTAATGAGTACGCCGGCCAAGTACCACTCCAGAACCGTAGTACCATCCCCCACGCACGTCTGGGCCCCGCGTACGAGAGGGGCAAAGTTTTGGCGGGAAAATTCA